AAAGAAAAAGAAGAAGCCGAAGAAAAGTTGAAAAACCTATGGGCTAAAAAGGAGTAATAAGAGGAACGTTGTTTTGAACAGGAATACTGCTAGGCAATGTCCCTTTTCAATTGTTATTTTACTAAGTAACTAACTATGCCTTTTACTTGGCAATGGTTAAGCAAAAGGAAAGAAACCTCTTAAAGAGCTTTCAATAATTTATATTGAAAAAAAGGCTCCTCTTGTATTTCATAGTTTCTTTCTCTTTTTTTTCGTTCTTCTCCCTCCCCTCCTCCCGCCCCATCTCCTTAAGTCTTTTTCTCCAAATATACCTGGACTTGAAGACACACCCTGCTTCTTCTCTCCTTTCCCACTGTTTAAGTTGAATTTTAATAAGGGCTTATTTTGAAAAAGAAAAACGAAGATAACCAAAATCTCTTTGCAATCAATGAACACTTCCGCTATTTCAAGTCTTCAAAAATTTTAAAATTTCAGTCTTTGATACCATAACAACTACACCATCAGCGGCTGTAAAGACAATAGCAGCAAACAACGTTTTTTCTTTGTAGTGATTATGACAACAGCATCTGCTCCCGACATTAGAAATACTAAATTCATATAACGTTTCTGCCCCGTTATTCTTCTTCACTTTCTTCCTTTTCTGCTATCAGTGTTTCTGCATCAACAATGACAAAAAAGAGCGTCAGAGTAGCAACAAGTTTGACGGTAACTGCAAAAAAAGCTAACAAATAAAAGCATGAAAGTAAAAAGAAACTTGTCATTATCACCCCTTCTCCTAAATCTGTTTTTTCACCTCTCTCTCATTTCACCAGTAACAGCTGTCCCTTCAAAAAAAACTTGATGTTCTTCTGTTACAGTAAGACAGTCCTTTTTCCGCATCTTCTACATAAAAAAAAACCGATCAAAAATGAGGTTCACTGAATCACTGAATTTCAATTTCTAGTAATTCAAAAGTTTTTATTGCATTTTATCAAACGCAAATCAGTTATTAATATTTGGCAAAACTGTAGTACAAAATGCCAATTTGTCCTCATAATTAATACTAATTTTTTGCAACCTATCCTAACTTCTCCCTGTTTGACATCAATAATGACTATAAGTAGTAGTAATATCAATAACATGACAGCAAGAAATAATAACGAAATTCAAATTAAATAACACAATAACGCAAAAACCGGAAAAATCTAAGTGGGGTCAAACTGTAGAAATTAGTTTATTTCAAGCTAGATGTAGCAAATTCACTGCAATACTTCTGTGCCGAATCACTGAATGACATAATGACACATTACCTCTCTGCCTAAATCCAAATATGCCACCTTCTTTGTTTTTTCAGAAAAATCCATGAAATAAAACTTCTGAAAGAACTATGCAAAGTAAAAATTAGTAAGGACCGCTTTATCATTCAAATAACTCAATAAACTGTGTACATAACAATGCTTCAACATCATAATAGAACGGTTTTCAATACAAAAATTACCTAACAATTAAAAATACCGAAACCGTTCAACCAGGGCCTCCTAACAACAAACACACGCCAGCTATTAAATAAGATTTGTCAGAAAACAAGTTCTCAAATACCTACATTTACTAAATCACTATACACATTTGCATCTCAACATCAAACAAAAATCACCTAATAGAATGCATAATAAATATATGAAAGAACAAAGACTTCTGTTTAATATTTTCCATAAATGAACCAAAGGCCTTTAAAAATGATAGATGAGTAAGACGACGTATTTATATGGAACCGAATTTAAAGGCGAATATGAGGGTAAACTACTGCATACGTAAAACAGAATAAGACTATGTAAGTGAAAAAATCTCGAGAGCCGATCACTGAGGTTCAGAGTTTCTATTTTCATCATCACTATTAATTAAAGGCAAAGACGCGAGACCATTTACAACAGCATCAATATCATTAGCATTCACTGGAGAGGCTAAAGAATGATAGGTCGAACAAAACGATGTCGGACTAGGAACTGCGTAAGAAGGTATGGAACTCCCACCAACGCTACTAATTTCTGAGAGATCCGCTGAACCATTCCAATTCGAATCTACACTACCATCACTTGGAACGGCCATATTTCGATAATCAGTTTCCTCCCAAATTATAATGCTAAAAAGAAGTTTTGAAAAGAAAATGTTACTAGACAACAGCAGATTTTATTTTGATGAATCTGAAAAACTTTATGGTATAAACCATGAAAGACGAAAACTAAATTGTTCCCAAGGGTATTTAAGCGAGAACTTTTGACAGCAACTAACTTGGTCTGCTCCTTGCAAGCTTCAAGCCTCGCTCGCACGTCTTCTAATGCTTTTGGAACTTGCTGGTAAGTAACTGGTAAATCTAGATCAATCTCAGCAAAAAGACGGACATATTCCAACTGGTGGCTTATTGCCTAAAATTCCGGTAACTGCTAAGTTTAAAGAGGATACCGAAGCAATGCAATTAAGCAAAATTTTCGAACGACTCTTCTAAATGGCGACATACTTGACTAGGCTTTTTCGCTGAGCGCTTGTTGGCCTTCTTCTTCAGTAGAGCAAGCGGTTTTGTTGTTACGCTGTTACTAGACACCGTTTGCTGTACCGACTCCTGTTTTTTTAACATCCCAAAGCTTAAAGGAAATTCTTCTGCAGAATCTAAAACAAACTTAATTTCAAAAAGCTAGGTCGTCAAAAGTCGCCTGCTTCTTTAAAACATCAAGGGAAAAAAAGTAATTTTCCAAAATGCAAATAAATAATTGATCTGCATTAATTTTTTGATTTTTTCCTTCTTTGAAAGAAAAATTTCTTATTAGAAGTCAAAAATAAAAGTGAAAAACATACGAGAAACTGCAGCTTCCAAAAATGAACTACATATGACGCAAATTATTTAAATAACCCAATCAACTACTAGTCAAGGCAGGGTAAAAGCTATGACCTGCTTTAAATAACCAACAAAACTACGTCTACAGCGATCATCTGCACAGCATAGAACGATACAGAATAAAATAACATGCCCCGTCTTTTACAAAGACTTCAAAAGTTACCAAACTCACGCCAGAATATTCATTCTTTCACAGATCCCCTATCTCAACTTCCACTCACACTTCTCTGACCATCCCAACAACTGCGATTTCAAACAACATACAACTACCAAGTAAAGTGCATTAAATAAAAACAAAAAAATGGTTAGTATCGCTATTAGCACATGGTCAAGACAAAAAACATGTAAACGAAATCATACCATCGTCCTCCTCAATATGCCTTCCATTTTCAGCAAAAGAAATATTTTCACGCTGAGTGCTGTTTTCTGTGTCCTCAACCTGTAGCTGGAGCGATTCCAGATAAGCAATCAAACGTTGGCATGTAGTTTTATACTCGTAAAAGGGTTCAAACTGTTCATCTTCATCAGCGTCTGAAGAAAAAATAGACTTAAATTTCCTCCTGAGTTACAGAGGAGTAGATTTGTATAAAAACCCACAACGTCCTAAGTGTTGGATATGTTGGTTACGCCGACCGAGCGGAAAGGTCTCAGGATACGAATGCTCATGTGGTACTAATGGAGTACTGCTAGCCACTTGCTTCCGCCGATTTTTTAACCACTGCGAATATGTCTCTCTTTTTTTACAGTAATCTTCAATGAGATATTTCCTGGAAGAATATAAGTCCTTCAGTGACGTTTTTAGGTCTGCAACGCTGCGTTTGGAGTAATCAATCCGTTGATGTATCTTACACAGCTTTTCAGAAATTGCCCGGACATCTTTAAATAGTGCCTGCAGTGAAAAATCAAGATTTCAGAATACGACTGGAACTAAAAACAGAAAAAAGATACTCCCTTGGCAAATTATCAGTCACGATTTAGAACAAGATCCAAAACAGTTTCCATTTAATAAAAAGTATTGTGCAATTTCAGATATTAATGCTTATTTATAGTAGCGTGTTTTGAAGAAAATGAGTTGCCAAACTCCTGACCTTTTGCTGCCGCTTTTCTTCATTATATTTATCGTTCAGGGTACGCTTCTCCAAAATAAGCGAATTGTACCTACTAAAAATTTCAGAATAAAATGCTAAATGTGTGGAAAAACATATAATTCAATTGTTTTACTTTCCAGTGAAAAAATTATTTATGCCTGTCCTTAAATACTTTAAAATTAGTACAATTACTTGGCGATTAAAAAATGAAAGCAAAGAAGACTATCCAAGAATCTATTAAAAGCACTACAAATGTGACAAAACATCAAAAAATTCAACTCAGCAAAATCACTGTCGTACGATGCAAAAAAAAATGACAGATTTTAAAATACAACTAATCAGACCTAGCATTTATTACTCAGTCTACTTGAGACCATACTTTACGTACAATTCTAAAATAACTGAAAAATAAGTTTAGTAATGTAATAAATCATATAATTTCCAATACTAGAACCTACTTTAGCTTGGTGAGGTTCCCTTTCAATGTATCTAACTTTTTGACTAGAACTTGTTCCTCCCGAATTGAAGTGAAGCTTTTCTCGTTGTACGTCTTCTCTAACTCTTGCAAGTGCTCTCGCAGCTTTTTTTCATTTTTATAAATTAAGTCATTCTCCATTTCCATTATCTGATTTTCCTAAAAACATACCTTACAGCAACAGAAGAAGATGATAACATGATTTAGTTACTCTTCTTACTAAAAACCTAAAAAGAAAACTATCAAATTAAACAAAACCGGCGAAAAGGATGGTTGTTTACCTTTGCTACTAAACCTTCTTTCATCTTCCCCAACATGGGTTTACGGTCTTCTAGCCTTTTCTTGATTTTATTACGTTCCTCACGAAGCGACGTTTTTTCATTTCTCAACTGCTCAAAGTCGGACTCTAGTAATATTTTATCGATCTAAAACCAACCGTAGTTAACCATTCACCTTACAACACAAAAAATTTGATTCAAATTGTACAATTCATTACCAGAAATTAGCGGTATATAAACATAACTACTCTACTTAAGAAAATTTACTGCATTTCCAAATTTCGCGCGATCTAACTCAATCAGAGCACTAATTAATCTAAAAATTGTTGGTCTGGACCCAATCACTGATAAATAAATAAATAAATAAATAAATAAATAAATATATATATATATATATATATATTAAATAAACAAATAAATAAATATATATATATATATATATATATATATATATATATATTAGGAATAAGCATCAGACAAAACAAATCTAGAAACCCTGAATACGCTAAAGCATCACTTTACAATAGTTACACCAACTAACTCCATACAACCTTGATTTAATTTTACAAATATCCCTTAAAACAACGAAAACTGACAAAAAAACAATCTTTGTCAGAAATTTGCAATGAATTTTTTTGTGGTTTGGAAAAAAAAGCAAAAAAATCTCAATATTTCTTAGCTACGTGAACGACAAACGTTCGCTACACCAAAAAAAGGTAAAAAGACGACGAAGATAAGCTAGAACAGCATAGAATTTCCGATTTCACCCTCAGACATGCAAAGGATTTAATTCTTTTCTTTCTAAATATTATTTATTGCGGCTTAAGTACCAAATGAACGCAAAAAACCTTTTCTTCGACAACACTGATTTGATCGTTAAGCTCGCTAAGTGACTTTTCAAAACTATCTCGATTAGGTGGCTTCGGCGGTGAAGAACATGAGGCTACGTCTATCGTTTCCTCAACCATCTCCAAAGTTTTGAACCCTAAAGAAACCTTCATAATCGAAACCTGTAAATAACAATAAAAAACCTAAATAGTTTTTTTTTTTTTGAATACCAAAACCGGTATTAACATAGAACCAGGAATTTGAAAAACTTAATAAGCTTAAAAAAAAAATAAAAGGGGAAAACAGGTTAAAAACTGATTTAAAATTCTCCACAACATTCATTTAAAATGGCAAAAACTACCGAAAACGTAGAGCAAGGCGTAGAACTAACAGTGATATGCATTTAAAATCACTTTTTTTCATTATTACGAAACAAAAGTTGATGCTGAACTATGATAAGAATCCAGTTGCAGATTATTGTAGAATAATGACTAGATTTGTTATGTAAAGATGCTCACAGTTTTTTTTTTTTAACACCACAAAGGTATTGTTTTGTAATGAACAATAACAACCAAGGAGATACTGCTATACTTCCATAAGTGATAATAACAATAATACATTAAGACAACAGCTGAGAAGCAAAAAAAAAAAAAAAATTGCACGGATTTTCGAAAATAACAGACCTTTTTTTCGACTGCGAGGGAAGCCGAAGAAAAAAAAGAGAAATTTGCAAAAAATAAATAAATAAATAAATAAACACATATATATGAACGGCCATTAAAGACTCGATTGTAGTATGCTGCCATACAGCAGACAATGATCAGTACAAAGAGAGGACATCTAATAAATAATATATATAGTCGGCGGAAGAAAGAGACAAAAATAAATAGATAAACAAAAAAAAAAAAAAAAATAAGGGAATAAAAATTGCTTAGATGAAACTACAAACCTTTCCAAATTTACGTTGTTTTGGATAGGAACCAAAAGTTTTGTTCATTGATAGCAAAAAGAAGGCTGTGAAGCGGAAGGCGATCAGAACTGCAGCGAATAAACCGAAAAACCGTCTTAGAACATTGCAAACTTTTCACTGGCCACAAAATCGTTTTTGCTTCTTTACTGCTTTGTGAAAGAAAAAAACACACTCACAATAAACCCACCGTATCTGTAGGTTTTGGAGACGCTAAAAAAACTTAAAAGTTCAGGCATAACGCTAACGTCGTTTCAATTCATCACTATGGTCATCACAACAGATATCGTTATTATCACCAGCAGCAAATCGCACCACCACATCTCAAGAACATCAACACAGTCCTCATCCCCGCAACCAATACGAGCACCAAAATTCGTCTCTTGCTGAATATGTATCGTCGCAAGTGGTAAAGTTCATCTGAGCAAACTTTACAGCTTAATAATAATTGGCCAATATATCGACCAGAAGTTTTCACTGTATTCGTTAAAACCTATCTAGCTTACTCGTGTTACTGTTTAGTGGCATTTTTCTATAGATCTAGTTATAGATATACTTTTTTTTTGTTAGAAATGCAGAATATTTGTTTTAAACGGCTGCTACTGCAAGGGAAATGCAAAATAATACATTTTAGTAAACTAATATTTTCTTTTGTCAAAGTCATTACACCTATTATTTAGTATCACAAAAAAAAAAAGTGCAATACGAGGATTCCATTGCATAAGCTTCTAATTAATAATTTGAAGCAGTGAATCTTTTTTTTCTACTTCCTCATTCAGCGCAGTTGGTTGTGTAGTTGGTTAAGTTTGGGGAAAAATTATGAAAAAAAAATAATAATAAAAGAGAGAAGATAAGAGAGAGGCGGAAAAAAAAGACAGATTTCTGTCCCACATTTGTCTTTTTCAGTTTTACACGTCGAAAACAAACAAGAAAATTCTTGTTGATTCTTGTCGTCATACGTCATCTGCAAATTACAAATTCTTAACATTTTAAAAAAATGAACCAAAAGTATAAACAAATATAAACTTAAATATAATTAAATGAATGTATATTATTCATCAAATGATACTTGTATTTTATATTTGTGTGTGAAGTTATATACAAGTAAATATACAAATAAGTAAATAAATAAACAAATAAATAAGCATATATATATATATATATATATATATAT